GCCCTGAGGATGCAGTTCGCGTCCCAGTTCGCGTACTCCGTTGCGACGTTGGCCGCCGTCCTGATGGCGGAGAGCGGGATGTTGCGCGGATCTGGCCCGACTGGAGTGGCAGTCTCAGGTATACCTTGTAACAAGGTGGTCAAGTTCTTCGCGTTCGTGAAGCCGTACTCGTCGCGGAACTTCTGGTCAAGAATCGAAAGATTCTGGACCAGCCCACGATTCGTTTTTGGATCTTTTGCGCTGCCTTCCCAAAATGTGCGGTCGATTGCCGAGATCAACGTCTTGCTGTCCTCGGTCCACCAGAGCTGGGAGAATTCGAGGCAGATTAACGACTCGGGCACGGACGTCCCGTTGATGATCGTGTAGGTGCTCCTCAAGAACTCGACCGAGCAGCGGAAGCCCACGGCGATCTCCGGGAACGCCGGGGCGATGTTGACGATCGCCGGCAGCCCCCCCGCCCCCACTCCCTCGGTCTTCTCCGGCATCCTGCCGACGATCTGGGCGGCGGTCGTCGCCATCGCCTCGGTGACCTGGGCGCCCGGGTAGTCGCCGTCTGTTATCCTCTGGCGCAACTTGCCGATCATCGAAACCACGCGGCGCTTGGCCTTCGTGATCGAAGCCGCCGTTATGATGATCGAGAACACGCCCTGGGCGTACTGGTTCGCGCCGTCGTCCCCCCTGTCGCCCAAGAACATCCGGAGGATGCTCAGGCGCATGGCCCTCGAGCTGGTGCCCACGCCCGCGGCGTACTCGGGGTCGGCGGCGAGCTCCGCGACGAAGATGTTGAGGTTGGCCCACAACCACTGGGACTGGGCCCTGGTCTCCGGCCAGGTGCTTTCCATCGACTTCACCCCGGTGATGATGATCAGGAGGATCGCAAGGTTCATCTTCGTCATCATCATGACAGGATACGGCGAGTTGAAGGTAAGCCAAAAACGTGATGAACGTCGAGAGAGATGCTTGAGCCAAAAAGGTTTTAGGGTTTTGGGGTTTAGAAATTAGGGCTTAGGGTTTAGAAATTAGGGCTTAGGGTTTAAGGGTTTAGGGTTTAAGGGTTTAGGGGTTTAGGGTTTACGGGTTTGGGGTTTAGGGCTTAGGGCTTAGTAGGGTTCAGGGTTTGAGGTTTTTGGGTTTAGGGTTTAGGGTTTTGGGGCTTAGGGCTTAGGGTTTTAGGGTTTGGGACTTAGGGTTCAGGGTCGTGTGTGCGAAGTCAGACGCCCAGAACATTGTCGTGTGCTGGGCATTGTGCTTGCTAGGTGTGCGGTGAGTCTGGTTGTGTGCTGTTTAGCTGTATGACTCAAGAGCCTAAGCTCTATCTGAGAGACGCAACCGTAAAGCGAAAGACATTAAAGGAGACAGATTCTTGTAAGTCAATGTTCAGATCATCTCTTAGCTATGGAAAAAATGAGTGAAGCTGATGAAGCTTCGGGGATTCTCACGGCGCGGCCAAACCCGCAGCACGAGGGTTTAGGGTCCTAGAGGGGCCTGGACCCAAAGGGGAAACGAGGGGTTCGACTGTACTGACTATCGCTTCAGTGATTCTCACGACAGTAGCTGCTGTTGCTTCGGTCATTGTCACGATTGTATTGGCGATCACCTCCGGTGATTCTCACGAGGGTTTGGGGTTTTAGAGCTTCGGGTTTAGGTCCAGTTTCCTATAAGGGTTCTTTGAAGGGATCTATAAGGCTTTGGGTTTAGGATTTAAGGCTTGGGGTTTGGGGTTTGGGGCTCCAGAATTCGGTCGTGCATTCGTCAGTCAGTGTCAGGCATCAGGACTTCTGCCTTCTCAAGTGCATAGGACTAGGCTACCTTCTACGGGTTGCAAGCGTTTCAGTTGAACGTGCCGATGACAGCATCCAATTTAGTAAGGTGCTCCGCAAGTGTTTGTAGTCATGCTACACGAACGCGTGCAGCAAGCTCAACTGGGCGGAATGCCGGCGACCGAAACGTACGGTACAGAAAGAATTCTTTACACAGAAAAACAAAACGGGTTCAGGGTTTAGGGTGGTTGTACATAGGGCCTCTGAGAAGCCTTCCTTAGTACCTTCAGAGATCTCTTAGAGAAACCCTAAACCCTAAACCCTTATAGCTGCTTTAAAGGAGCCCTTAAAGGAGCCCTTAAAGGAACCCCTAAAGGAGCCCTTAAAGGGACCCGCCCTTAAAGGAGCCCTTAAAGGAGCCCTTCAAGGAGCCCTTAAAGGCGCCCCTTAAATTAGCCCCTAAAGGAACCCTTACTTGGAGGGTCGGGGGACTTAGTAAGTAGGTAGTAAGTAAACCTATAAGTGCCCTAAAGGGGACCCTAGTTGGGTAAGTCCCCAAAATAACCAGTCACTAAGTCCCCCGACCCTCCAAGTACAGGAGCCCCTAAACCCTAAACCCTAAAGGAACCCCTAAACCCTAAACCCTAAACCCTAAACCCTAAACCGGAACCCTTAAAGGAGCCCCCGGGGGCGCCTGAAGAAGGCCTTTCCGTCCACCACCGGCGAGCTGGGCCCTGGGGGCTGCGACCTTGGCGCCTCGCGCGGGGCGGCGGGCGCCTGCTCGCTTAGAGGATCATGGGACTTAGTAAGTAGGTTATAATTGGGGTTATAAGTCCCCTAAGTGGGGTAATCCTAATTATAACCTACTTATAACCTTACTTACTAAGCCTCATGAGCCTTTAAGCGGAGAGATTTCCAAGGCTTTTAAAGGTTTAGGGATGAGGGTTTAGGGGTTAAGGGTTTAAGGAAAAGGGTTTAGGGGTTTAGGGTTTAGGGATGAGGGGTTTAGGGATTAGGGTTTAGGGGTTTGGGGTTTAGGGATTAGGGTTCAGGGTTTAAGGGTTTACGGTTTAGGGTTTCCGGGTTTCCGGGTTTCCAGGGCTTAGGGTTTGTAGGGCTCCTTTAAAAAAGGAATTAAAAAAAGGCCTTAATAACTAAAATAGCGTTTTCGGGCCCATTTTTCTACAGTTATTATAAGGGACCCCCCCAATAGTGTTGGTAATTATATAAGCCCCTATAGCATAAGGTTCCTCTGAAGGATCTACAAGGGTACTGTAGGGTATAGGGTTTGGAGGTTTTGAATTTAGGGTTGGAGGATCACGGGACTTAGCAACTAAGCATCTTAAAGGGATCCTTAGAACCTTTCTTAAAGAGATCCTTAGAACCTTTCTTAAAGGGATCCTTAGAACCTTTCTTAAAGGCATCCTAAGGGAACTAAAGAGTTCTATGAAGGGGGATCATGGACTTAGTAACGAGGGTTAAAAGTTATACGTACCCGAAGTGAGGTTATAAGCAGTAATAAGTACAATTTCCTTTTTTAACACGAGTTACTAAGTCCCATGATCCTCTAAGTAGGGCTTAGGTTTAGGGTTTAGAGGGTATAGAGTATAGTTTTTTTTTAAGTGTAATGACCCTTTGTCCACTCCGCAGGAGCAGGTCTTTCCTCCTTGCGCAACACATACAGTGTAATGGTCAAAGCCATCCGGTCCTGTGCGGCATTCTCCATGGGCACAAGCCTGCGGGTCAAAATCTGCTGGCACACTTCGGGACTCAACTCGCGCCGCAATTCTGCAAGGAACTCCACTGGCTGACCAGTGACGACCCCAGTTGAGCGAAGTCGCTCGCAAAGTGCCCTGTGGCCATCAGTATCCGGGGGGCCGGTTGCCCTGGCATGGGTTTGCGCTGGAATGAGCATCCTGATCCTGTAAAGGACATCGTCCTGCTCTTGTTCTATCACTGGCTGCAAGAAGGCCCTCAAAGCATTCGCATTCTCCAATGCAACTTGGCGCAAAAGCTGGAGTACCGCGGCCTGTTCCACTGTGCTCATCGGTTTGATTGTCGCCATGAGCTCATCAAGGCGGTCCAGCAACTGCGTTGAGGGTGTGCGGGCAAGGACTGTAAGGTCCCTGCACATGTCATTGACTGCAGGCGGTACTGGAGTATAGGGTTTAGGGTGTAGGGTTTAGGTTTTACAGTTTAGGATTTCGGGCTTAAATTTTAGGGTTTAGGGTGTAGGATAAGGGCATTTTAAATGCATTCCAGGGCAATTCAGGGCAAATTGGGGCGAGTTGAAGCATTTTAGGGCTGCTTTACGACTTGCATCTTAGTTGAGATCTGGGGTTTAGGGTTCGTTCTCAAGCGTTCCATTCAGGATTCTATAGGTAGGAAGGGTTCAAGGCTCTGTGATTGAGGAAGGTTTCGGGACCTTTGTTGTGGTTTTATTGAGTTTAGATGAGCTTTATGGGATTTCATAAAGGCACAGACAAGAAGCTTCTGCCCTTTTCCCCCACACCCACAACCAGCAAAACAAAAATCACTGTTCCCGACACCCGCAACACCCCACTTAGCACGGTTGAAGATGCCACAGAAACACCCAAGTCCCGGCGTGTAGACGAAGCATATATCACGCAACAGCTGACCAAGAAGCCCTATCACTTAAGGAATCTTGCAAACCCTAATCCCTGAAGCCTACATCCCCGAATGCCCAAACCCGAAGCCCCCAACCCTCATCCCTAAACTTTAATCCCTAAGCTCTAAACCCTAAACCCTAATTCCCGCCAAGTCACTTGCCCACACTGCTGCCGAGCGCGCACTCTTTTTGCCTTGGCGTTGCGTCAACCGAGTCGTTAGTAAAGAAGAGAGCTTTCAGAGCTCGCCATCGATCGGTGAGAGGGCGAGCGAACTTGATACTTCAGGCATGTCCTCAAAGACAGGCGGGATGCCCTCAAAGAGCATCGGAGCGGCCCGGTCGCTTGAGAGGCCACCCTTCAAGCCGGTCGTGAGGTAGCCCAGAAGAGCTTAACCTTCAGGTCTGGCGGCGGGGAGGTGGTGGAGAGCTTGAGAAGTCGCAGCAGTAAGGGCCCGGCGTACATCACAGGACTGTCACTTGGATTTCCTCCGATCAGTTCTGCTGGAATGCTGCATCATTCCCGCCAAGTCACTTGCCCACACTGCTGCCGAGCGCGCACTCTTTTTGCCTTGGCGTTGCATCAACCGAGTCGTTAGTAAAGAAGAGAGCTTTCAGAGCTCGCCATCGATCGGTGAGAGGGCGAGCGAACTTGATACTTCAGGCATGTCCTCAAAGACAGGCGGGATGCCCTCAAAGAGCATCGGAGCGGCCCGGTCGCTTGAGAGGCCACCCTTCAAGCCGGTCGTGAGGTAGCCCAGAAGAGCTTAACCTTCAGGTCTCCCGCCCCCCCCTCCGAGCGGGCGCCTCAAGTTGAGCAGAAGAAGCAGCCAGGTGACAGCGTCAGCAAGCAAAGGGCGGGTTGGGTGGGGATTACCATTGCCACTGCCTGGTGAGGCCTGTGACTGCACAGGCGGTGGTTGCCCCACTGCTTGAAGTAGTGGCGGGGGCGATGGAACCAGTGCCGGAAGAAATCCCATCTGCACTTGCAACCACTCCACCAGTTGCTGCTCAACTTCAGCTGCTGCTCCCACGACTTGCAGCCAAACTTCTTGAAAAAGACTGGAAACCAGACTGGCCACTGCTCGAAGAAGAAGACGAACTGCGAGAGCAAGGAGCAAGGCGCACAACCGTGGGAAAAGTAGCACGACCAAGGCGGCCGCGATTGTCCTCCATCGCAGCTGCGGCATATGGCGCCGCAGTTGCCCCACGTTGAAGGTCCACAGAAAGTTGGCTGCCGAAGGCGCTGAGGCTTGCGTGGGCTCCAAAAGAAGAGGCCTGGGCCTATGGGCCCCCGGGCCTCTGGCGGGAGTAGGCGCCGCTACACCCGAACAGGCCTGCAGCGCTTGCGACATGCGGGCCAAGACACTTGTGAACTTTCTAAGGGAGCTGCCCGCTCGCCAACGGGCTGCCACCTCACGTCGCTGAGGGTCTGCAAGAACTTCAGCTGCTGTCAACCCAGCGTCCACTGGAGCGTCACCCAAGTCTGTAGCTGCCCGCTGCACCGCCTGTAGCAACTGATCCGCCGGGACCGCTGCCGCATTCATATCTTCAGCGGGAGCTGGGGCATCAGGCGATCTGGCCATGCCGCGCCCCGCACCCGCTCCGCCACTTGACGAGAGGGCACGCGACGCCGGCGCACGCTCGAGTCTGAGCACTTTGCGCCGGGTAGATCGCGCTCTGTCGGCTTCCATGCAGCGTCACTCGGTCCACAGCTGGAGTAGTCTGCACGCCGCCCATCCAAGGTCCATGCCACCCTAGCGCAGACCTGGAGCAAGAAGCCGCCTGAGCCTAATAGAAGGCGGTGCATCCAACCGGTGAGCATGTTCATGTATGCGAAGCAAAAGCTGTTTGGCCGCATCAGATGCTTGAGCTACGACTTGCACCGACAAGGCCTCCTGCAAATAGTGTTGTAAAGTCTCAGGGCGGCTCCATCGGCCTGCGAACTGCAGTTGCCCTAAGTTGCGGTGCCGCCGGAACTGGTGCGTAGCACCACCCCCTCGCAGTGACCCCAGTGTGTAACCGCACTCACCCATACGAAGCTCACCTAAGGCCTCCTTGAACAGAATAGCCCAGCGACGACGGTTGATAAGTAGGACTCGCTGGCGGCGCGGCCGATCCGTGACCCACCAACGGAGCCACATAATCAGCGACTGCTCTTGCACTAGGGCGAACTGTCGTGCCCAAACTCGCTTTGTCTTCGGGCTTCGGATCCCTACGACCAGGCTGATGCCCTGACCAAGTTCATCAGCCTCGGGAAAACAAAGGTCTGAGATTTTCAATTCGTCCACCTCCCCAGGTCTAAGGAGGCCTTCAAAAGCCAACCAGCAGCCAATCATCACTGACCACCACTCTGCCCGCAACCTCCCGTGATAACTGAAGCCCTGAGCCAAACAAAGCAACAATACCGCTGAAAGTACATGGTAAGCGATCGGCACCCGGGTTTTAATCGGTTCCATTCGCCGCCAGCCCCGCAATTGAATCCATGTGTTCTTCAGGAGCGGGCCTGCTATGCTGAAGGCCCTCTGAATGCTGAGGACGCCCAAAACAACCCAATAACGACGCTCTCCACGCTCATAGCTCACTGCCACCGCCTTTTCAAGCCACCTGTCCACCGTTTGAGGCGGGGAAGAGGGGGATAAGGAGCCACCCACATCAGAGACTACACCCAACAACCATTGGCCAGCGTCCCTGAGATTTCGCCTGTACTCGGCAAAGAGAGCCGCACGCTTAAGCGTGCGTCGTGACCCGCGGCCACGCGGCATGATGCCCGACGACCTCCTCGATGAAGCCGGCGGGAAAATCCCCAGCTATCTGATTCCGTGCCACCCCGCCAGACACGCCATGCTTGTGAGTTCCGGGGCCGGGGCAACGACGAACACTGCGATGGAGCCAAGGAAAGTTCGAGAGCAGGGTTGTGGGGCGACGTGCGGGTGGAACGGACCCACCCTCATAAGCACACATGTCTGCCTTATACACAAAGACCCGCTCAGACTGCATGAAAAGCTCGGTGGTCCTCATCTGCCAGGCCTTGCTGAGCTGCGGATGGATCAGGATGAAATGGCCACCTTGTTCCATCACCTGCCGGGCCAAGTCGAGGACACGGTTCCACAAAAGGTTGTCACGAGCAATCCTCCACACGCTTGAGTCGCCCTCGGGTAGACCACGAGGTCGCCACTCACCTGTAACACAGGACTTGTGCAGAGTAGAGAAGGTCCGGAGAGGCGGCGCCAACCAAAGCCACCGGACCTCCTTTCTTTCAATCAAGTCGTCAATGCGCTCGCTGAAGACCTCCTCATCACGGTAAGCGTTGACCTCAGAGCACAGTAAGCACTGGTCACCAGTCCAAAGCCTGAGCCAATCTCCAGGCCAGGGGGGCGACGCATCCAGCGCCACCCCGAACTTCTGCATCCACTCCTCAGGCAAACTCGGGCTCGGGAGAGGGTTGAAGCGCGACGGGTGGTCGGCGAGGTTCGCACAGGTCTCGATCCACAGCAGTGCGAGAGTCACGTCGGCAAAGATCAGAAATGGAAGTTGACCCCTGAGAACTCCGTTTAACTTGAAAGAAGAGGAGCGCCCCTTGCTCACTGAGCCCACCACCACCAACGAATCATTGAGGGCCACCTGAATGGTGCCCGAGTTGTTGAAGTCAGCTGTGAGCTTCACAATTTCACGGCGTAGGGCACGAGCCTCCTGCAAGTTGATGTGAGAAGTTCTCCGGAAAGAGAAGCTCCCGACAACCTCCCACGGGAGGCTTTCTGAGATGGCCGCCGCAAAGCAAGAGTTCTCAATTGGGGCCTCACCCGCGAGATTCAAGTTATCGCGATCCAGCCTGACAGGAGAGCCACGAAGTTCTGAACGCCTCCAAAGTTCACGGAGCAATGAGGCGCTGACCGTCGCCCGAACTGCACCTCCTGAAGTGGGCGTGGCATCAGTCGCTAAAAGTGAAGAGTGCAATCTCTTTCGCATACACCACTGGGCCATCGGGAGATGCAAGGCCACTGAGCGCAGCTCGTCCAACACAAAAGCCGGGAGCCAGACCTTCTTGCCTGGCACCAGTTTCTCTACAAAGATGTACAAGTGGTGGATCAAACTGAACATCTCGCGCCTATACTGGAAAATGAAGGCAATGAACCCCAGGAGTTTCTGCAAAATCTCTTTGCTGGCTGTTCCTGCATGCACGGTCTTAGCAATGAGGGACCACACTTGTTGCCGCATTTCCAATGGAGCGCCCACGGTGCCCCGAATCCCATCCACTTCGGCACCCCAAGCTTTGAATCTGGTAACTCCCCGAAAAGCTTTGTGAGTGGCTCGCTGCAACCCCGCCTTTTCGTAAGCGTCCTCAGCCACAGCCGTGTGCACCATGTCCGGATCGTCGGCCTGCAAAGGAGGCGGCTGAAAGGAGCCATCCAGGGGGATCACCGAGTCTAAGGTCACACGTAGCGTCACCAACAAGTCATCAAGATACACGCCTTCCCACAAGTCAGCCTCGGGGACAAACTTGCCATAGGTGAGCTTGTTCTCCGGCCTAAGGAGCCCGAACTTGCGCAGGATGGCTTCGTGTGTAGCTTGCGCGATCGAGCATCCGTTGCGATCCCCCATCCCCAAAACTCTAAAACACAATCTATAAGCCACTCCAGGAGTGCCCCCGTGCTTCTTGACCACATCTGAAGACACCCGGCGCCCCACTGAATTGAAGCGCACCCAGCCTGGAGGGAGTCGTAACATGTAGTAGAAATTCCGGAGATCATCGCCTGAGCCACGCAGGTATTGGTCGGGACCCAGGAGCATTCTTGTAAAACAGGCTCCACTCGGCAACTCCTCCCACGCCAACCTCGGCATAGTGCTGTTCTCTGGCCGCCGGTCGAAGATGAGTCGGTCCTCCGAGTCATTTTTCCCAACACAGAAAAGGCCGCCCACAAGAAGCTTGCCCTCGGAAGTATGGGGAAGGTCCGTCTCCTTGACGAGCTCGGCCATGCCAGTCGAGAGGAGCTTCTCGGCCAAGTCATTTTCTTCATCCTCTGGGACACGGTGACAAGCAACTACAACGTCTTCCCAAAGATGCTCAGGGAGGCGCACCGCCTCCAAATCACCTACCACCGCCGCCTGATCTGAAGGTAACCACTCCAGAGGGTCAACACGACCCGCCGCATCAGGAATCGCCACCCTAGAGGCACACACAGGAAGGGCCCCCGAAGGAATCCCCGCCTCAGCCCCACCGTAGCTTGCACAATTGAGCTTCAACATGTCCTCAAGAACCGACCTTTTGCCCTGACATTCAAGAAGACCTGCAACCAGCTCGAAAGAAGCGAATTGGCTCACCTCGCCGAGCAGCTTAAGAGCGAAGTCCTGAACATCCGCTCGGTACACCACTCACGGCTCCAGTGTAGAGCTCCCCGGGCGCGGGCAGCCAAGCACCACAAAGTTTGACCAAGCCACAAACGTGTTTACGAAGGCTCGGCCCCACCATTCACGGGCTTGACCCCTATCGCTAACAACCTCCGTAAAGGCCACCTCAGGAAAGGGCAAAACACAAGGGAAAAGCGGCACATCGTTGCCGGCCCGAACCAGCAAAGTACCTTGGACGCGTTCCAGCCAGGCTGCATAATTGATAAAACGTGAATTCCTTCCACGCAAGGCCGGGTGCTTTAAGCAAAGGGCCCTGCCATCATGCAACGACTCATCGGTGATCACTTCTTGGAGGCACCAGTCGCCTCCTCCTCGTCCTCGTGCTGGCTGTGACTTTGGGCCTCCTTGACACGCTTCTTGAGCTTCGCCAGGGAGGACATGTAGTCGGCCAGCACGGACATCTCCTCCTTCGTCCCCGCAAACTCCTTCCTGACCATTGGGTCGGGTAACCCCGTTAATAACCAAGCGGCTTGCCAATCTCCTTGGGCGAGGACACTCTGGATCTTCGCTTTCAAGTTCTGCACCAATTGGGCTGCTGCTTGGTCGGGTTTGCCTTGTCTGATCAACTCGTAGGCGGCTACATCCATCATGGCACACCGGTAGATACCCTTGAATTTGCCCCACGATTGGCGTTTCACGAAGTCTCTGAGAGTCCAGCTTTGGCCAGCTGCCACCCCCAACTCCTCGATCACCTCCTTCTCGAAGATCTCGCATACCTTGCGGGGCCGCTTCTGCACCTGAGCCTGCAAGCGGTGCAACGTGGACACCGCCCGCATCCCCTTTCCTCGGAGGTCGTCCTCGGCCTCCGAATCGTCGGAGGAGCCACCACCAAGGAGATCGGAGCTGCCGCTTGCCCGATCTCGCCGTCGCCGGCTCCCCTTCTTGTCCTTCTCGAGCAACATGGTCATCATCATGAGGGGCATCAGCTCGCTGCTGCTCTGGCCGCTGGCAAGGCTTTGGGCTAACAAGGTCCTCAAATCCGGAGTTTCCTTGATGTCCTTCTTCGGCTTGGCCTCCTTGGTCACACGAGCCCGCGACGAAGCCGGGGCCCCAGGGCGGAGGTAGGAGGCTGGCTCCCAGCCGTCTTCGTCGTCGTCCGTCTCGTCCTCTTCGTCGGCGTCTTCCCGGCCCTTCTGAAACAAAGCGCCCAGGGCGCCTAGATCCATCTCCACTCGGCTCTTGGCAGGGCGGCTGCCCTTTGTGGCCGGTCGCTCGGCCTCGCTGCTGGAAAGATTGCCCGCTGTCACCTGCTTCCATGCGGCAACCGACGCCTCCCAAGGGGGGAGGTCCTTCAGTCTCAGTCCGCTCCAATTGTCAGGGCGGCTCAAACTAATGGTGTTAGTCGGGACCCGAATAAAAGCAATCTCTGTTCCGTGGCTCTTGCCCTTCGCTTGATTAGGCACTCCAGTGACCGAAGACACCGGGGTAGCCAAGAAAGCTTCACTCCCAGCCAGCTCAACAATCCAGCCCGTCACCGGTACATCCCCAGCAGAGCCATGGCAAACGACGTAGACTACGTCTCCGCTATCCATGATCACTTAAGAGCTTGAGAAGTCGCAGCAGTAAGGGCCCGGCGTACATCACAGGACTGTCACTTGGATTTCCTCCGATCAGTTCTGCTGGAATGCTGCATCAACCCTAAACACCACTCCCCAAACCCTAAACCCTAAACCCTAAACCCTGAACCCTAAACCCTAGATCCTAAACCCTAAACCCTTTTCCCTAAACCCCAAACCCCTAAACCCTAATCCCTAGACCCTAAACCCCAAGCCGATGGATGGAAGTCGCCGGGGCTTGGCCTGCAGGGGCTGTGGGGCCACAACCGGCTCGACGGGAGCCTCCAGGAAAGGACCGGCCCAAGGCTGTTTTGGGATTAGGGATTACTTAAAGGGATCTACAGGGTTCCTTAAAGGGATCTACAGGGTTCCTTAAAGGGATCTATAGGGTTCCTTATAATGGGATCTATAGGGGTTTTGGGATTAGGGATTACTTAAAGGGATCTGCGAAGTTCCTTAGAGGGATCTATAGGGTTCCTTAAGGGAGGGATACTTAAAGGGATCTGCGGGGTTCCTTAAAGGGATCTATAGGGTTCCTTAAGGGAGGGATACTTAAAGGGATCTGCGGGGTTCCTTAAAGGGATCTATAGGGTTCCTTAAGGGAGGGATCTACAGGGTTCCTTAGAGGGATCTATAGGGTTCCTAAGGGATCTATAGATCCCTTAGAGGGATCTATAGGGCTCCTTAAAGGGATCTATAGGGTTCGCTAAAGGGATTTATGGGGGTTAGGGTTTAGGGTCTACTTAAAGGATCATGGGACTTAGTAACTAGGGTTATAATTAAGGTAATTGTACCTATAATTACTTATAACCCCACTTAGGGGACTTATGACCTTACTTACTAACTCCCACGATCCTCTAAGTAGGGTTTAGGGACTAGGGGTTACAGATTAGGGTTCAGGGCTTAGGGTTTACGGCTCAGTGCCAAAATATGGGAGTTTCCGAAAGCAGGGACCCTAACATAGCACCCTTGATAGTAGGATCCTTAGCATACTGACCCCAAATTAAGTACCCCTAATTTTCGGAAACTCGCATATGTGGACTAAGGTGTTAAGCGAACCAAAATCAGAACTATCGGATGAACACAGGAAGGTATTGTTACTTGGAGGATCAGGGGACTTACCATGTAAGGTGTTACTGATGTTCGGACTCTGGATCTACACTGCCGAAAAGCCGGGGTTTAGGCTGCACAGCAAGGTAACTTAGGACGCCAAAACCACTCAATCAAGGAACATACCTTAGATCATAGTACTAAGCACCCCAGCATTTAAGGTGCAGTCTTTCATTAAGGGTTGGAGTTTCGGGCATAGGGAAGAGAGCTCAGCCCCTGCTAGCTGAACAGCCCAGGTTTTCGGTACCGCCGGTACTATAGGGGGCCTTCGTAAGTAGACTAGGGTTTTTGGGGCCCTTTATACTATAACTACATTCAGGAGCCCCCAAAATAGTATAGGTAATTAATTATCAAGCCCCGTATAGCAATCACTAATCACAACCCGACACCCTGACCTCACTTTTGGTTTCTCATGGATGAACCCTCAAAACCCAACTAGCGCCCATAAAACCGTACTTAGAGGATCATGGGACTTAGTAAGTAGGTTATAATTGGGGTTAGAAGTCCCCTAAGTGGGGTAATCCTAACTATAACCTACTTATAACCTTACTTACTAAGTCCCATGAGCCTTTAAGTAATGTAGGAACCTGGTTGAGAAAGCTCGGGCCTTTGTTTGGGTTCCTTATATGAACCCTACTATTTTGGGGTTATAGGGCCAGGGTTTCTTAATCAGGTTCCTACATTAGAAGTCATGGAAGCTGATTTGCTGGGTTCGGTTCCCACTGTCTTTCAGGCGACACAGGAGCACCAAGTCAAGCTCCCGCGCTAAGGTTTCCCCGAACCCGAAGCCAAAGCGCCAACTCCAAGCCCAAAACGCTAGACCCCACAACACATAACACCCTAAACCCTAAACCCTAAACCCTTCATAGTCGGCCTATACAACCCAACACCAAAACTGATTACACAAGCCTTAGCACGACCTGACAATCACTCTATGAAAATCTATCCCGGAACCGTAAGCCCAGAAACCGAAACCCACTCCCCACTCTCACAAAACACAAACAAACCCTGACAAACTCTTAAAAGACCCTACTTCGACAAAGAACACACCTAGGGTCATAAAACAGTATAGCAACCCTCTGTAAAACAAAACCTTGCAAGCCCTACACCCTAGACCCTAAACCCTAATCCCCAAACTCCTATGCCTAATCCCTAAACCTTAGTCCCTAAACTCTAATCCCTGATCCCTAAACTTTGATCCCTAGCCCAAACCGTACAAGACCTAAGCCCTAAGCCGCTCCAACCTGCGGGCGAGGTCGGAAAACCTCTGAGCGCGAGGGCGCGGCGGGGGCGGGGCCTGGAGCAGATCTTGTTTGGTTAATCATGTTTGTGCTTCGGTTGATGATATAAATCCTGCATTACCTTAAGGACCCTAAACCCTAAACCCTAAACCCTAAACCTTAAGGACCCTAAACCACGTTCTTAAAGCTGGAGCCCTTAAGCCCTATACCTGGGAGTTAGGATTAGGGGGGGGACCCGTGGGGACATAGACTAAGGCCCCTTTTAAGAGAGCCAGAAGTAGGGTTCCGAAGGGGTACCCTTTTAGGGGTCTCCCCAATAATACTACCTAAATCATGTTTGTGCTTGCTTTGGGGGGTAACTGGTGCGCAGCTTTGGGATTTAAGGCATAGGGGGTTTGGGGGTAAAGGGTTTGGGGGGGGGGGGCCTGGGATCTTCAGATGGACCAAGATCATCCTGCGAAGTTTCTCCATGTCTTTGTCGATGCTTCGTAGGGCTTTGGCTTTGAGGCTTGGGGTTTAGGGCTTCGGGGTGTTTAGGGTTTCAATCAAGGCTGCTTCGAGACATGACAGGTCTGAAGCCTTGAACCCTGAACCCCGCCAACCTGTACCCGAAACTCTGAACCCAGGCCCCATCGCGCAAATCCTACACCATTGCTGCACAACCCGAAGCCGGAAAGCCCTGCTAAACCCAAAACCCTCAGCCGTTTCAGCGGCCTTAGAATAGGGACCCATAAAGCACACAAGCAAACATTAGGATAGGGATATCCCATATAAACCTGCTCCGGGTCCCTAATAGAAGAGTGTTGAACGAAGTTCTGGCCGGCCTGGGTAGCCGCCGTAGCCCAGCTCTCCGGCAGTCAAGGGCATTGTTCCCTGCCACGTCTGGTTTTAAGGTTTAGGGTTTCCGGGTTTAGGGTTTAGGGATTCAGAGTTTCGGGTTTAGCGTCCCTAAACCCTGAACCGTTAGGATTTGGGGTTTAGGTGGTGTGGGGGCCCCCGGCCCGGAAGTACTCGTCGCTCATCAAGGCTTTCAGCTCGCCGAGCTCCGCTTCCTTGTGCTGGTCGTCCTCGTGGGTTTACGGTTTAAGGTTTAGGGTTTAGGGTTGTAACAGGGCATTTTACAAGGCGCCATTTATGGGATTTCTCACATGTTTTGGAGGTTCTGATAAACGGTCATATGAGATTTGTTGAAAGTCTTAGCAGGGTTTGTTTAACACTGCAGCGGCGCTTTATTGTTGTCTTCGAAGTTTAGGCCTGACGGCTTAGGGTATCACAGGGTTCAGGGTTCATGGTCCTTGGAGCGTTGAGGGTTGAGGATCGTTTGGGGGAATGGCTATCACATCGGCTTGTAAGGCCAAGAAAGTGTGCGTATGATCTGGGAGCATGGGGTCTTGTACTTGTTAGTATTGTTAGGGGGACCCCTTAGAGGGTAGCCCTTCTGAACCCTACTTCTGGCTCTCTTAAAAGGGGCCTTATTGAGAGGGTCTATATCCCCAAGGGTCCCCCTAATCGTAACTCCCAGATGTGGCCTGCTTGCGAGGAATCATGGCTTTTGACTTGGGGCTCAGGGGCTCTTGCCAGCTTAGAGGGCCTCATATCCCCGGAAACCCATCCATGCAAACGTAGTATAGGGGCCTTGATAGTTCGAATGGGTTTTGGGGCTCCTTAATACTGTACTTACAGTTAGGAACCCCTTAAGTAATCATTTCGGCCCCTATGTTATATTAGAGGGTTGACCCTAAGCCCAAACCACATCCCTGTACCCGAAGCCCGCTACACCTGCACTTGCACCATGAATCTCAATCTCGGAAGCCTGCGACCAAACCCGACACCAAAGCTCCCTAATCCCTAAACCCTAACTGGTGCCCCTAAACCCTAAACCGCAAACCCTAAACCCTAAACCCGAACTGTTGCCACCGGAACTGCAGGAGTGACCAGGCTTTCGGACTCGGAGAGGTAGTGACAGTGACCACCGATTGGGAGGCTGGGGCTGACACTGGCACTGCTGGTCCTGCTTTCAGCCCTGCTTTCGGCGGCACTGCTTTCGGCCCTGCTTTCAGGCCAGCACTTCTGACTCTGGTCCTGCTTGCAGCCCTGCTTTCGGCGGCACTTCTGGCACTTCTGGTCCTGCTTTCGGCCCTGCTTTCGGAGGTCTCGGTGGAGGAGGTGCCTTTGCACCGTGTTGCGTCCTCCAACGGTCGAGTGCATAGGAAGCCTGGGCGGCTTCCAAGACCAATCTTCAAGTCAGAAGAAATCTTCAACTCAAAGTTCAGGACCTGCGAGCATAATATAGCGGCCTTAATAACTAGAGTAGGGTTTGGGGCACCTTTAGTAGAGTACACAGGAATCTTAACCTTATCTCCGTAGCGACCTGCACACTGCAGCCTGAAGTCCTTAAAGTGACTCTTTAAAGGAACCCTTATAGTACCCCTTATAGTAGCCCTTTAAAGGAAGCCTTATAGTAATCTTGTTGTAACCCTTTAAAGGAAGCCTAAGGCAAAATCCGGACACCCGCAGCCAACGAAGTCTCCTGGCCTAGAACCAGCACAAAGACAGTTCTTACACCTGGGGGTTGCCTCTGCCAGGGTCTAGGGCTAGACCCAGGAGTAACCTGGTAATAAAAAG